TCCTAGCCCCTAGTACAATGCCTGACAACAGTGCTCAATAAACATTTGCTAAGTGCCCGGCCAGCATGGCTCAGTGGTTGAGCATTGACCTAGGATCCAGATCGCCGTTCAGTTCCCAGTGAGGGCACATGCCTGGGTTGGGGGCTCGATCCCCAGTCGGGGGCATGCAGGAGGCAGCCCATCAGTGACTCTTTCATCACTGATGTTTCTCTCTACCTCTCCCTTCCTCTCTCTGAAATCAATANTAGTCGGGGGCGTGCAGGAGGCAGCCCATCAGTGACTCTTTCATCACTGATGTTTCTCTCTCTCTACCTCTCCCTTCCTCTCTCTGAAATCAATAAAGACATATTTAAAAAATATATTTGCTAAGTGATTAATTGAGGAACTATGACACATTCACTCTCTTCAAAGAAATGACTTAAAGACACAATCAGGCTAAAGTAGAATAGGTGGCCGTTCTCTGCCATCCATGTGGCAGGTATGATCTGAGGGACACTCCAAAGGGCCTCTAACCTCCATTTCACCCAAGCCTGGAAATAACTTCCCCTTCGGTGAGTAAGCTGTGCTGGGCCTTCAATTAACTGGACGTCAGTCACTGGAAGCTCGTAAATTAATGTGATAGACCTGCGAGGGCGGATGGCACATTCACTTTATTGTCTGGCCACTCCCAGCAGAGAGCCCAGCGGGACAGGTAAGTGTTGCTTGTGGGGTGAGCCAGAGGAAGTCAGCAGCGCACACGCCTCCTAGGGAGGAGATAACCCTCCCAAGCACTGAGGGGCCTGTGTGGGCGCTGGAGGAATTCTCCGTGACTCACTGTCTGCTCCATAGATGTGTCCTGGGCCAGCCACGAGTGGGGTGCAGATAAAGATGAGAATGGGGGCGCTTATTTGAGCTCAAAGAGGTCAGTGGCTGATGTGTGCCAGGTCATGCTCTATGGCCAGGGATGGGGTGTTCAGGCCAGGGTTCTGATTCTGGGGCGCTGGAAGGCTCTTTGATTCCATGAATACTATTCCCGATTCTACACTCCCAAAATGCGTCACGGCGTATGGCAAAAGTGAACGTAAAAATATTGACGGTTTTGGAGGAATCTCATGGCCCTTTTTAAAATAACTACGGAGGCTAAGTGGAGAACCTGTTCCAGACCATCCTAGCAATGGGGACACGACTGTAATGCACAGAACATGACGATTTGAAGGGTCTTGGGTGCATTCCCACCACGCCCCTTGGTCTGCCACCAGAGTTCTTAAGCATAGATCTTGCTCTTTTTTCTTTCCAGGTTGGGATGGCTGAAACGAAAAGCCTCCCTGCTCTGCTTGCGCAGAAGTCAGGGCTTCACCTGCGCCCATGGGTCAGGGCTGAGGGCTAAACCTCACGGGGCTGGGCGACCCCGGCCTTCCACGCTGTCATTAACTCACAGATCAGTGAGGACAAAACGGGCTCAGCCTGCAGGGGGGCTTCTTAAAGTGTCTAGACTAATTCAGCAAGCATGGGCTCTCAGTGGCCCCTCCAAAACCCCCAAAGCCTCCTCTCCTAGTTCAGTGTCGTCAACCCTCCTTGCTGGACAAAAGAGGAAGAAACATACTCACTGGTTCCCAGACGAAGGCTTAGCCAGCTGCGAGCTGGAGACTCGTGCTTTGTCAGGACTGAATTCATGCTTGACCTCTGGGACAGTGGCACCCTGTCTGGCCCTCGAGCCTCGTGCCAGGCCCACAGGCCTGTGTCCCTCTCTCCCCAGCTGCAGTCCCAACACAGGAGGGCTTCCTCCAGACTCAGCCTCAATCTTAATTTCTCCAGCTGAATCCGTCTGCACAGAAAACCACGGAGCTCTCGACCCAGCCAATTTGCTTCCCTCCGACGCAGGCCCCCTGGGCGCTGTATATTTTAACGTATGGACTTCGTGGCCGCGGTTTGCACTGTGCTTCCCTGCTGGTGGTTTGCTCCCCTCGGATTTTCCATTTCCAAGTACCCATTCGCTCCCTGGAACAGACTTCTCACGCTGCTGGCTGCCTCGGCGTGCCTTCCTTTCCCGGAAAGCGACGCCTTTAAGACCCTGGTTTCTGCAGTCCCAGCAGCAGCCATTAGACACCTTGGCGAGGCAAAAGGCCTCAAAGTTTGGTGGCTTCTCCCTGCCCGGCAGACGTTCGCCCAGGACATCAAGCCAGTTCCAAAGCATTAGAAAAACTTAAGCCACAGTCTGCTGAGCACCGCGCGGCATCAGGGCCAGTCGCCGTGGCAACCCTCGGCTTCCCAGCCCCACACATTGTCTGCGGCTGGGCTGTTTGCTTACTCAGCTCCAGCACTTCCAGTGGACCTGCTGCCCCCTCGACTCCAAGTGCAGCTCCTTTTGGGCTGCACCCCCATCCCCGCTCCACTGAGCCCACTCTCTGCCCCGCTTTCTCCTGCCAAAACCTTGGAAATCTTTAGCTTGGCAAAGCCTTTCTGCAGAGGCCCTGAACATCACGTGGCTTCTTCCCCCTTACGCACAGATGGCCCCCATATTTATTTTAGCCACTGTTCAGGCTCAGCTCCTCAGCCAAGTCTCATTTCCTCAGCCAGCCCAACCCTGGGAGTGGGAGTGGGGACTGGAGCTGAGCTCGCACTTGCCGGGCAGCGTTACAGGCATAGACCCCAGGCTTTTTTCTTCTTTTTAATTTGAACTTTTCTGGGAGCAAAAAATTTTTCCTCCTGAAACTCTCAAAGACAGTCCAGAAAGCATATAGTATCCACTACCAACTCACATACTTGGGCCCAAACAGGAAAATTAAATAAACTGCTGCTGTGTTCAATACTGAAGGGGAAAAGGCACAGGTATCTGCTGGGGCTTCCTGTTCCCTGGCAATGGCACCCAGATGCCACTCACCCCCTTCCAATGTTTTATTTTGCCCAGTGTTTCTGCCATCATTTCTCCTAAGCACGGAAATAATTTCCTGGAATAAAATGGTCTACATATGTAATGAAATTACACCAATTAATGTTCTCAAAAATATTTAATGATACAAAAAATGATGCTAAGTGAAAAGAGCTGGATAGAAAAACCACACATACAGCAGAATACCAATGTTGTAAAAAAAAACAAAAACCACACACACACTTAGAAAAATACCAGACAAGAGAGCATCATAGCATTAACAGCGATTATTCATGTGGTGGTACTTGACCATTTTCTAAATATGTCAACTGTTCACACAAGTTCAAAGCACTAAGTGGAGGTTTGGAAAAAAACTCCCAGGAACAGGTCCTTTGTGGGAGCCATGGAACCCACTTCTCGGGAGCTGGACACAGGGTGGGAAGAACGGTTTTAAGGAGAACCTGCTTGGAGGTGGGGCAGGTAAGAGGTGTCTGATTCCAACACTGAGTTTCTGCTTTCTCTCAGCATGACTGTACCTATGATCTTGGTCCCAGCCTTCTAGGAGTCTGCAATCTAACCAGAGACCACCACCTACAGCCAGGCCTCATGCACTGAGCAGGCAGGGACCCTAGGGAAGAGCTTTCATCCCATCTTAAAGGGGAACAGGCTCAGGTGAATGTCTCCCTCACAACCATACTGCTAGCCAGCGGTCCAGCTAGGACTTGAACTCAGAGCTCTAATATCAAAGCCTGCTTCTTACCCACTACATCGCCACACCCAAATCTAAAAAAAACTTCTCCCAAACAACTTTTTAAAAATTTACTATTTGATACAAAGGGAACCATGTACCCACATCGCTTGGTCCCTATACCTCATCTGTTGGGCAGACAGCTGAATGTCCGGCAGGGTAAGTAACCACCTGTCAAAGCATCTCAGTGGAGGCAGGGTCTTCTGCTCAGCCTGGAGCCTCACCACCTGTGCTGTCCTCTCCCATGATCCAGTTCCAGATTTCAATTTCTTGAAAATCCTCATCCAAAGCACCTGATAGGTGAGCCCACGCCCGGCCAGGAGTGGCTCAGTGGTTGAGAGTCGACCTAGTATCCAGGTGATCAGGTTGCGGGCTTGATCCCCAGTCAGGGGCATGCAGGAGGCAGCCGATCAATGAATCTCTCATCATTGATGTTCCTATCTCTCTCCCTCTCCTTTCCTCTCTCTGAAATCAATAAAGACATATTTTTAAAAAAAGGTGAGCTCACTACCCCCCTCTCCCTTTTCTTCCATTTCCAGGCCAGGGTCTCAGAGGGCACACTGATTCCTACCCCTAGGCCTAAAGGGGGACAGGAGGGAACAACTGAAGTTTTGTTCATAAAAAATGAATCCTAGAATTTGAGAATTTTGTCATTTATTTTCATATATACCTTTCCTATAAAAGGATCTCTTTAGCTCGGCCAGGCGTGGTTTAGTGGTTGAGTATCGACCTAGGATCCAGGAAACTGCAGTTTGATTCCCGGTCAGGGCATACCCAGGGTTGTGGACTCGATCCCCAGTCGGGGGCGTGCAGGAAGCAGAGACAATCAATGACGATTCTCTCATCATTGATGTTTCTCTCTCCCTCTCCCTTCCTCTCTCTGAAATCAATAAAGATAAATATATTTTTAAAAAAGGATCTCTTTAAAAGAACTGATTTTAAAGAATCACCAAATCGGTGACTAAGGATTTTCACATTCTGTGTCACATATTTCTTTAATTTTCTTAGAAGCATGCACTACTTTGGAAATCACACACACAAATGATTACTCCAATGCAGACTCATGCCTCTCCATCCTGAACCACGTAAAAATAATAGCCCAAACCACTGACACCGATAATCAAATGGACACCCAAGTTCTACGGCACTATTAATGGTATGACCTGCACCCCCTGGAGCTGACCACAGAGCCAGAGACCTCTGAATCCCCCCCCCCCCC